AAAGAGAGAGAGAGAGAGAGAGGGAGAGGGAGGGTGAGAGAGGGAGAGGGAGAGAGAGGGGGAGAGAGAGAGAGAGAGAGAGAGAGAGAGAGAGAGAGAGAGAGAGAGAGAAGACTGTTGATTTCCCTAGGAATCAGAAATCATGTCAAATTTCTTGACAAACTCCCCACAGCTATTTCCAATGCAAAGCGGAGAGAGATTTCTTGTGTGTCCCCAGCTCCCTCTGCTACACTAGAGTTCAACTGAATTTTAAATCTATGTTTGATACTTTTCATGGAGCATCGTCAATAATATATTTAACACATTACATATAGTCCTTACTACAAAGTACAAAAAATGTCCTGGTAGCAATGTGTCACTGTCAAAACCAATATCAAATCACCAATTTTCAGAAAACCAGGTTAACCAACCTATGCTTTCTTCTCCTTCCTTCTTTTCTGTCAGAAGAGTTCTTGTCATGCTGAGCTTCTTCATCGTATGGCATTTATATTTTAGCACTGTTTTATTGTTGCCTTCTGCATCCACTAGAACATAAAATAAACTCAATTATTATACTATAATACAATAGTACAAATAAAATAATCATGTTAAGCCTCAATAATTCCAATTTAGTGAGTTACACTACTTCCTGTCTAGATAGTGGAATAAGTTCAAGATTTAACTCCTCTCTCCTGCTCCAAGCATAGAGAAATGACAGATAAAATACATAACAACTGGACTCAAAACAACAAACAACTCCAGGGGACAGCCACACAGAACTATGAGTGAAATTAAAGTGATGGGCTTACTAGGTTCCAGCCCTGAAGTAAGAAAGTGAAGCCAGAAACTTGGCTTTACAGGTTAACGCGATGGCGAACCTATGACACACATGTCAGAGGTGATACGTGAACTCATTTTTTTGGTTGATTTTTCTTTGTTAAATGGCATTTAAATATATAAAATAAATATCAAAAATATAAGTTTTTTGCTTTACTATGGTTGCAAATATCAAAAAATTTCTATGTGACACAGCACCAGAGTTAAGTTAGGGTTTTTCAAAATGCTGACACGCCGAGCTCAAAAGGTTCACCATCACTGGGTTAACGAGATCTAAAATTCTACCACACTTGCCCTAGCTGGTTTGGCTCAGTGGATAGAGCATCGGCCTGCGGACTGGAGGGGCCTGGGGTCAATTCCAGCCAACGGCACATTCCCGGGTTGCGGGCTTGATTTCCAGTTGGGGGCATGCAGGAGGCAGCTGATCAATGATTCTCTCTCATCATTGATGTTTCTATCTTTCTATCTCCCTTCCTCTGAAATCAATAAAAAAAATATTAAAAATAAATAAATAAAATAAAATTCTACCACACAAAATTACCAATAGTGAGAGAAGGATGAGAAAAGTCATGCTGCCAACCCCACTGTCTGGGGTTACAGCTTTACAGAAAACTGTGGGCACAGGCAGGAGGGAGGATGAGGATCTGAGCTAAGGATGTGAAACACACTGCAAACTTTCATACACTGCTCCTAGGAGTGTAACTGACCTGTTAGAAAGCAATATAGTAAGTGGAACTACATGAAACTGTCAATTTTCAGCCCAAATAAGTCATTTCATATTGGTGAACCCAACACAGTCATCAACCTATCTCATTTTTTTTAAATATATTTTATTGATTTTTTACAGACAGGAAGGGAGAGAGATAGAGAGCTAGAAACATCGATGAGAGAGAAACATCGATCAGCTGCCTCCCGCACATCTCCTACTGGGGATGTGCCCGCAACCCAGGTACATGCCCTTGACCGGAATCGAACCTGGGACCTTTCAGTCTGCAGGCCGACGCTCTATCCACTGAGCCAAACTGGTTTCGGCTCTATCTCATTTCTAAGTATATACCTTAAACATTTTTACATATATGCACAGGGAGAGTAAAAATATTCATGGCAGCATTTTTGTAGTGAGTTAATAAGCATAATTAAGAACATAGACTCTGGAGCAGACCATCTGGGTTCAAATCCTGATTCTGCCTCTTTGTATATGACCTTGCAAATGTTATTTATCTCTTTGTGCTTCAGGGTTTTTTTCCCAATATAAAATGAAGATAATAATGGGATCTACCTCGTAACTTGTGAGGATTAAATGAGTTAACACATGTAACGTTTAAAATAGTGCCTGACATATGTAAAGAAGGCATTCAATAAGTTATTACTAACTAGAGGCCCTATGCACAAAATCCATGCGAGTGTAGGCCTTCGCAGCCCCGGCTGCCTTGGCCTTCATGGCTCCTGCTGCCTCTCGGCTCTGCGGCCCCACCCCTCACCCACTGGTCATTCAGGAATGTCGTTCCACCGTCCATTCTAATTAGCATATTAGCTCTTTATTATATAGGACTAGAGGCCTGGTGCACAAAAATGTGTGCACTCAGGGGTACCCTCAGCCTGGCCTGTGCCCTCTCGCAGTCTGGGACCCCTCAGGGGATGTCCACCTGCTGGCTTAGGCTCGCTCCCTGGGGGCTTGGGCCTAAGCTGGCAGTCAGACATCCCTCTAGCAGCCCGGGAGCCCTCGGGGGATGTCCACTTGCCAGCGGGGAGCAGGCCTAAGCTGCAATCGGACATCCTTAGCGCTGCTGAGGAGGCGAGGGAGGCTCCCGCCACCACCCCTGTGCTAGCAGCCATCAGTCTGGCTTGTGGCTGAGCAGAGCTCCCCCTGTGGGAGTGCACTGACCACCAGGGGGCAGCTCCTGCATTGAGCATCTGCCCCCTGGTGGTCAGTGTGTGTCATAGTGACCAGTCACTCCCAGTTGTTCTGCTGTTAGGGTCAATTTGCATATTACCCTTTTATTATATAGGATTACTGGTAATAATGGAAGCAACCAACATGTCTGTTAACTGAAGAATAAATTGTGGTATAGTCACAAATGGAATACTAAGAAACAGGGAAAACAGTTATATATATCAGTATGTATAAGTCTCAAAACATATCTCTAATTAAAGATTATAGAATGATATGCATAATATGCTATAATTTAAAGGGTGTCCCAAAATTCCTGCAAGATTTGAATTTTGCGTGAGCATTAACAACAACAACAAAAAATAAAAGCCTAATTTTACTTGGTTTATTGAATCAGATTCTAATATCTGTTGCCCTTTGATTTCAATCCCTTCAATTTGCTAAGCATTACCAAGTACCAATTATGGCCCAAGAGCAGAGACAATGAAGACCAATGAAGACCTTATGTGCCAGCAAAGCTGTGGAGGCCATTTACCCAATGTGCTATTCCATACATAACCCTATACTGTAAACTTTATGAATCAATAAAAATTTTACAATTGTCAAAACCAGTTTGGCTCAGTGAATAGAGCGTCGGCCTGCGGACTGAAAGGTCCCAGGTTCGATTCTGGTCAAGGGC